TACAAAAAAATCTATTTTTATGCGCCCGAATCGAAAGATCCGAGGCGTATATTGTTTTTGTCCTGTCTTTCTGTCTGTCTGTCCGTCTGTTTATCTGTTTGTCTGCAAACTTTAACCTTCGCCATAACTTTTGAACCATGAATGGTTGAGACTTCATATTTAGTACGCAAACACCACTAACTAAGCTCTTTCAAATGACACCAAGATCAATGACCTTGTGACCTTGACTGTCTATGCTAAAATATTTTTTCTGCAATCTTTAACTATCGCCATAACTTTTGAACCATAAAAGATAGAGACTTCTTATTTGGTATGCAATCACCACTGATTAAGCTCTTTTAAATGACACCATGGTCGATGATCTTGTGACCTTGACTGTGACCTATACGCTAAATATAGCTTTTTTGACAACAAATTTTAACCTTCGCCATAACTTTTGAACGAAGAAAGATAGAGACTTTATATTTGACATGTATACTCCACTAATTAAGCCCTTTCACAAGACACCAAGGTCAATGACCTTGTGACCTTGACTGTGTCCTATATGCTAAAAATAGCTTTTCTGAACCTTCAAGATAACTTTTGAACCATGAGAGATAGAGACTTCGTATTTGGTATGTATACTTCACTAATCAAGTTCTTACAAATGACACAGATCAATGACCTTGTGACCTTGACTGTGATCTATATGCTAAAAATATGTTTTTTTTTAAAATTTGTTGCCGCCGGGCGCATAGTGTTTCACAAACACATCTTGTTGTTGTTAAAAATTATGTAATGTTAACGTTGTTGGAAGTTTGGGTATTCTGTAACAGAAACTGTCAAACACAGTAGCAGTTCATACATTGTACACTGCACCTCTGGTCTCCGCGGATTTTTTTTTTGTCCCCCGCTTTCGCGAAAGCGAGGGGACATTAAATCTCATTCGTCTGTCCCTCTGTCAGTCTGGCTGTATGTCTCGACGTCACAAAAACTTTAACCTTAGATATATCTTTTGAATGAGAAGAGAAAGAACTTTCATATTAAACATGTATATTACCTGTGATAAGATCTTTCTAAATACACTTTGATTTTTGACGTGGCTACCTTGACCTTCAAGTTTGACCTACTTATAAAAACTTTAAACATTACTTTGAATTGGCCATAACTTTTGAATGAGAAGAGATAGGGATTTTATACCAAAATGTGTATTACCTGCGACAAGACCCCCCTAACATGCTTAAAAACACTATGATTTTTGACTATGTGACCTTAACCTTGACCTACTTTTCAAAAAACTTTAACCTTGGTCATGAATTCTGAATGAGAAGAGATAGGGCGTTCATATTAAATCTGTGTATTGCCTGTGACATAACCTTTCTAAATACACTATGATTTTTGTTCTTGTGACCTTGACCTAAAAGTTTCGAAGTTTGACCTACTTTTCAAAATTGTTAATTTTTACTTATACAGTTACTTTTGATTGATAAGATATAGAGCTTTCGTATTTCATATATGCACTGCCTGTGACAAGATATTTCCGAGCATGATGATTTCTGACCCCTTGACCTTCACGATTAATCTTATTTTTTTTTTTCTAAAAATCAATTTCGGTGATAATTTCCAAATGACATACGATAGGGCATTCATATTTGACATAAAATGTCATCAAAAAATTATATCTCACCCACAAAGACACCGAAAGCGGGGGAACATAATTCTTTGAATTTGCTTGTTAACTCTGCAAACTATTTCCTTTAAAACTCTGAAATATTTTTTTTTTATTTTAAGTCAAGGTTATGGGTTCGAGTTTGGCATGGTGTGTGACACAGATAATGCGCATAACATTAGTAATATTTCTTAGTCTTTTAGTTTATATAATATCTTTTAATTATACTATTTTTTACGCACAAATATATGTATTTGTATAAGTGGTTTGTTCTCCATTTTGTATACTTACAGTATGTATATTTTAATATTAAGTGCACTAGAGTACTAGTATCTTCATTATAACGCGCTATAGAAATATTATATTGTATTTTGGATATGAAAATTGAATTCTTTTCTCATTCAGCATTTTGATAATATTCTATCGTCGTTGGTATGACCTTGTTAATGTTACAAATAAAATGTATCACTGGGTCGTATCACTGGGTAGTATTTAAGCTTACAGACTTGTTTCATATCAATTGTTATAAGTTTTTATACTAAATTTTACTTAGAAATGTTCCGTTGACTTAAAAAGTTTTTATACTAAATTTGAGTTAGAAATGTTCCGTTAACATAAAACACGGGGTTTGTGGCGGTGTGACCGGTCAACAGGGGATGCTTACTCCTCCTAGGCACCTGATCCCACCTCTAGAATTTCCAGGGCATCGTGTTTAAACCATGTTCATGTATTAGTATTTCCGTAGTTTTCAAGAGATCGCGCGAAAGTGGATACAAAAACAAATTGGCGACTGAATCAATTATTTTTTTTTAAGGAAAAGCAACTAATAAACAATTACAAGATTTTTATGCATATCATTGCTATTTATTAAAAATATAAAATACCTGTTTCTTTTAATTGACGTTTACTCATTATAGGGATCTACATTTCTGCATTGGATAGAGAGTTTGGGGAAGCTTTATAAGGCTTATTCTTTTTATTTAAATGTTATTTCATTAACAATAAATTTGTAATTAACATTTTAAAGACCTTTCTTAAGACCTATAAAGCAGAAACAAGTTTCCTAACAAGAAGACATTACGCTGACATAAACCAGCATTCTGGATGCTTCTGCGTAACAAAATTGTACAATTATTAACCGAGGTCCCAATAACGATATTTGTTGGATTGAGAAAAAAATGTTCTTCAATTTCTTAGACTTTAATTGCGTTGTCTGACTTAACAGAAAATTGGTTTTATAAAAGCAAAGATAAACCGTAAAACAGATTATTTCAAAGTTTTCACAGTAACATTATACCTCTAGTTAAAAGGTTGAGATTTTAAAGAATCATCCATCTGTCACTGTGGGTTTATTTCGTCTGTAATTTTGTTTATGCCTATTTTGAAGACCATCACACTTCATATATATCTGCAGGACTATGAATCAATTGCCACATCTTAAAGTTCAGAGTCAATGTAGCCATTGTGGTCAAACTTAATTTCATTGGAATGCCTTACAAGTTTACACTATGAGAAGTTTGACATTTAACTAGCAGAGAACCAAAATGATTGCCTGGCCTGTGTGGTTATATTACAATAAAGTGTTAGAATGGTAAACAATGGATTTCTCATGATAATATACACAAGGTGGTCAGTAATACAAAGGTATTCTAATCTAAATTCTAATCTAATTACATAAGCAATCCTTGCTAAAAAATTCTATGAAACAGATTCTTATTTTAATGAATTCTGTTTTAATTTATTTCTTACACATATTTTTTTCAATTTTTCATTTTGTTTCATAAAAAAAGATATCTCCTCTGTTGTATTTTTTGTGCATACTTAAATTGTAAATAGCTAATATAATAATAGTAATAAACACACGCTATTTCAAATCTATCACAATTCATTAAATACTTCTTTTTCAATGGAAAAAGAAGGGAAAGTTACTTGAGGAGGAAAGTCTCTGTATGATATATTGATGGAATCTAATGCAGTGATGTGACATTTCAGGTTAAGACAGCAACATTCATAATAGCTCAGGAGCGCTAACTCTTTCTAGCAAGGACGATAACTCTTACCCATCCAACATATCTGTGAAGTGCCGACTGTCTGAGGGCAGTCACAAGGTTATAGTCCTCTGAACTATGGTGGACCTGATGCCCCGCCCACATTATATTGACCTCTACATAAAATATGTACATGAAAAGGCTTTTATTTATCTTACAAGAACTATAATACCTTAAAAATCATATATTACTTGTTGTAATTGCACATTAAACAACTTGCCTAGAATTCATTCACATTTCACATTCTCAAGACACATAATATATTGTTGTTTTTTTTATTCAACATTAATGGAACATATTTTACATACGTTGTCGTGTGTTATTAGCAGACCTGTTTTTTTTTTCACAAGTAACAGAATATATTCAAAAATATTTAAATGAAAAAAAAGACAAATCTTATTGTGGTCTACAATTCGACCATTAAATATACGTCTATCTACGACGTTTTATAAGCAAACAGTATCCAATTTCCTACCTACATTGACCGATATATCTACACAAATTATAAGACAATGCAGAATCTTACTCATTTGTTTCATATACTAGTACCCATAATCTTAATGGCAAGCTAGCAACTAGGTGGGATCAGATGCCCTGGAGATATATAATTACATATATCATGATAAGCATTATTATGATAGGTAGATTTATACTTCTCTGAAAATGTTGAACGCAAAACATTGAATAAATGATGCAACAAACTACTTTACTCTTAAGGACAGATGATACAAGCAAAAAAATGGATGCCTGGATTGGTATATATTTTCTGGTCTTATTTCATTGAAAATGATGTAAAAAATAAATTTCTTCAATATAAAGAAATTGTAAACCTTCTATGATGTTCAAAATTCTACCTCTCAGAAACCATCTTTATTAATCTATACAAATATTTTTTCTCTTCAAATCCCATTTTTTGAGAATTTGAATAAAAATTCAAAAACTACCGGTTAAACTTATTCATTTTACTAATTAAAACATGACTCAAGTTGTTATTTTCAAATTTTTTGACAAAAATTTGTTTATTTCATCTGTCCTTAATCAGAACTAAGTTGACTAATGCAAAATCATGGATAGAAAGGAAACTTGCTTATTTCTGCGTCATTATGAAATTAGCGGTGGAGAGTAGTGAAATTAAATGTACATTTTATTTGTATTTGTTTACCAGCTACACCAAAAAGAGTTAAAAGTACCGGTAGAATATCTTAAGAAATTAAGAAATTAAAAAAATAGCATTTTGGTTAAAATTCATAAAGTTATTCTCATAACTATATACTATAGTGGAGTGATGTAGAATGATTATTTACCGTGACCGCATCGATGTACCCAGTAGTATCCGAAGTCCACCCCCAGGAAGCCTAATAACCAGGTCCACGGACTGTCCCACGGGAGGTCAACAAGGTTAAAGTGTTCATAGACCCAGATATAGGTCACCAGCTCCACAGAACGAAACAGCAGCCTGAAAATGTGAGGAGAAAAATGTCCTTAAAAATAGTATCGAAAGAATATGAATTACTTCCGTGGACTATAAAATACGAGGGTTGATCCAAAAGTAATGTCACTGTGTCCATATCTTTAATATTTGGCGTTATATTATCAAATGTAATGTATTAAAAGATGCACCAAAATAAATCTAATCAAAATTGAAATTTTCATTTAATAATGTTTCATTGAATTAATTTTATATACGTTTGAAATATAAGGGGTGTCGCCGCGTCACAACTAAACGTCACGTTTTCAAGCGTATATTGTTATAATGAAAAAAGACAAACACATTGAAAAGCATCTAAAAACGCGTCTAATCACCCAATATTTTAAAGGACAAAAATTTAAGACATTTTTAGTCTTTAAGTTGAAAATAAAATGACGTCATTGCTTTTTGATCATAAACATTGTTGTTTTAATCTGAGGTATTGAACAAAGGAAATGTCGAAATGGTAGAAAACTGCTGAAACGAGTTGTAATGCATTTTTACGTCAAAATGTAGAAATCGGCAGTAGAGACAGTTACGATGATTAATCAGACACGCAGAGGAAAAAATGTAAATAAAGACTTGTTTATAGATAGGTTCAGCGATTTTTGGTAGGTCATGGTCATTGAATGATCAGCAGAGGACAGAAAGACCGAAATGGGATGTCGGGCGGAAACGTTCAATTTTGTCTGATGTTGTCAAAAAAGAGAGCGTGTCAAGGTTAGAGCGATAACAGAAACTTTAAATTTGTCTTATGATATTGTTCCAAGAATTGATATGTAAATTCCAAATTAAAAAGCTTGTACCTAATTCAAGGGACATGGACACAGTTTCAACTGAAATTTTTCAAACTTATTTTTCCGTCTTTTCTGCAAATAATTATTCTTAATGATTATCAAAAGTTTGAATTTCAGTTGTCGAGATACAAGACAGATTTAGAGCTCCAAATCTTTGTTATGTAAACAAGGCCCGTGTCATGTTTTTGTTTACGTAGGTTAAATATACTAATATATATTCGTTCAGAGCAAATTTTTCAATAAAGAACTTAATTCTAAATAGCATTGGACAATTTTTTGGTGATTTACTGAATATTATTTTGTTATAAATATGATATTTTCTATATGAAAACAAAAACAAGGCTCGAGCCTTGTTTAGATTATGAAGAATTTTAAGTTCTGTATAATCTTTGTAAATCAACAATTAGATGTTTTAAAAATTTCTGCTGATCATTTGATTTGCCTTAATTAGGAATTGTAAACATTAAAATTTGTTTAAAAAAAAAACAAATCAGTTGAAACTGTGTCCATGTCCCTTTAATACTTACCCATGCAACAGAGACAACAGCCCATTCGCCAAAGAACCAAAGCTGTCATTAAATCGCGGCAGGCGTTTCCCTCTCAAGTACAAAATAGGAACTTCCAGAATTATCAAACAAATGAAAAATGGTATGGCCTGGAAAATATTAATTTCAAATTTATTCGCAATAACATGAAGTATACGTACATGTATCTAAATGATATGTTTAACGACATTAGGGTTAATGAGAAGAGTCAAGTAAATATCGAAGTACAATAAAAGTATACAGTAGGGGTTTGTTGATAAAGACGTTCCATCTTGGAAACTCTGCTGTAGGACTTCCACTGGGGAAGGAATCCTGTTTTCCATTGAGTTCTAAACATTAAAAAAGCTAGAGGGGATATCTTATTCTAATCATTATATCCCTTTTTTATCAGCAAATATCCTAATGAATGCACCACTTAGATCCCTTAGCTTATTGCTTAAATGTTCTTCTTCTTGAACACAACATGTTATTTCAGGCACCGTGTATGCCACTTTTAAAACTTCTCACTTTTGATTGATATTAATATTAATTTCTAAAGATGAAATTTGAAATGCCAAAACAGATTCGAAGAATTCATTTTCGTAACTAATTTGTTCCAATCATTGAATTTATTGTAGACATAATCTATTCATAAAATATATTCTAAAATACTCCTATTTCTGTCGTTAAGCATCGTTCTGATCATGGTGATATAGACAATTTTTAAAAGCCAGTTTAAAGGCTGCAGCCACTGAATATATATATTGGAGCATTTAGTCCCGTTAAACAGACAACATTACTGTATGATATTTCATCAGCTGTAAGGTTTTTAGAAACAGTATATGTTGGTGAAACATGATTTCTTCGCAGGATTATGTCAGCCATCAGACCAAGTAAACCAATGAACCAGTTGGGTAACATTGAAAAGTTGAAAGCCATAAATGGGAGGATATGAAAGTATTGCTTACTGGCCATAACCCAATATAAATATTAATACACACAGACAAAAAGCAATGAAAAGTTCAGGATGGTATTCAGTATCAATACATACCTCATCGACATACTTTGGAACTTTTTCCACTGTTGGAAAAGAAGTTTCTTTTGGAGACACAATGTAGAAAAGTCTTCTAAACCTTGTAAATATTTTTGTCACGACGTCGACATTATATTCCATTTTTTCCAACAAGTAACAGCTGACTTTGTTTTGGACTTTGATCGTGAAGAAAGTGAAAGTACTACAGGCAAAACAAAATTTAGGTATTACGAACCCGATTTAAATTCAAATATATCTGACAGTGTTATATTAGGGTATGATATTCAAACACTTTATAATGCTTTTATATCAGTGGCGGATCCAGAAATTTTGAAAAGGAGGGGGGGGGCGACCAGTTTGAGGTCAGGGTAGGGGCCCACAGCCACACGAAAAAACATTGATTTATCAAATATTATGTATTTTTTTTGGACTCTAAAGGGGGGGCCCGGGCCCCCTGGGCCCCCCCTCTAAATCCGCCAGTGTATATAGCTTCCAATTCCTCCCCATGAAAGAAACTTCAAAGAAGGCAAACTCTTGTGAAAAAAGGAAGTATGTTTAGTTTAAATTTAAAAAAAAAAAAATAAAAAATAAAAAAAAAAGGATCGGAAATGGAATGACATTGAAGAGTTTAAAAATTGTCTTTGATTCTTTTCTATTTCTTTACGAATTTGACATACTGGAACAAAAATTGATAGGAATAAATTATGAAATTTGGAAATTAATTTCGTATTTCCACCCTCGCTATATATTCACGTAACGATTAATAAAAAATTAATACATCTGTTGAAAGATAAGGGTTTTTTAAACAGGTTATTAATATATGCTGTTTTTAAGAAAAATCAAAAAATTATATTATGTATAATTATTTATAATAAGCAATATTATTTCTTTCTTAAGAATGTGCAAAGGTAAACGATTCTTAATCATGCTTGCATCTTCTTTCATGCTCCTAATAACAGACTTTTGTTGTGAATTAGTAACCTAATATCCAGAATTTGTCCGTAGTTTTAAAGTTAAGATAAAGCAGTTTTTGTGTAGTTTTGATAACGCTTAAGGGTTTTATGATTACGGTCTCTGACGTCTTTAATATGTTGACGGTGCGACCGTTAGAGCGAGCGCAAACTCTTCTATCGTTTTAATTTAGATCGGGCTCGTCAAACCGCACGTGACATTTGGTGCGTCTAGACTCTGACGTCACATGACGTCGTATGTAAGTTACAAATACCAAAAAAAAACTGAACAGTGCTGAAAGTGAATGAAAAAAGTTACGTTTACAATTTATCTTCAATATGTATCCATTTAATCAAGGCGAGTAAACTTTTTGTTGAACATTTGCCGTCATTCTCGCGAGAACGCAACTTTGCTAAGTGATGCATTGTGGGTCAAAATTACTGCGGCAAAAAATTCTAAAGAATGAATGTGCAGTAGTCCAAATTTTCTCTTCGCCCAGGCGTTGTCGTTAGAGCTCGCAGTTACGAGCGTCGCTTCGCGACGCTCGCTGCGCTCGCTATAAGGGTCGCAATCTTCGCATATTTAATTCTTTGACCTTTCTACACTAATAAAATGTGATTTTTCTGGCATTGAAAATTTAATAAGCAAGAAAAGTATTTTAAAGTGTTAAACTTTTTCTGACTTTAAGCAAATGGGTCAAAGTTGTCTTAAATATTTAGAAAAGAACATCAAAAGTGGGGGTATATGATGTAAATTTTCAGATATTACTAAAAAAAGTGTAAATTTTCACTAAAATTTGCTCAATTTTTTCCTGGATTTACAGAATATACATGTATTTACTATATTTGTCACATTTCCTTGAAAGAATTCATTAAAAATAATTTAATGGATAGTTCAGAACCAGCGTAACACATTTCACAGCAAAAAACAGCTTTGTGTACAACCAGCATGGAAAAATAGAAATCTAAATTTAACAGTACTGTTATAGTTCAAAAGGGAAAAAACTGATCATTTTCTTCTAAAAACCTTCCGCCACGAAAATAGTTCCTAGCTTAAGTCTACTTGAATGGAATTTAATCGCGTTTTTTCACTGAATATAGTTCAATTTGCATTAAAGAATTCAGATTTAATGTTAGAACCTAAAAATGATGCAGAATTTTATAAATAAAGGACAGGACCAAAATCCGCTCAAAAGCTCAGGATCGAACGTCTTTAATAATTGCAAATACAAAGAAACTTAACTCTTTCTTTCATGTGTGGGTTTTTAACATATATATTTTCACATGCATCAATTGGTACAAAATATCATGATTTATTAAAGATCATGCTGCGTAACACTTGACAATACATTTTTCATAAGACAGGAAATCTCGACATTAATCTTAATAATTAATTATCATCACCTTACGAGAGGATTTCTAATATACTGTAAGTTTGTTGATTTTTCTTTATTGTCTGAGTCATGTACATATACCTCCAAAGTATATTCAAGGTCAAAGCAGGCAGATGTGTAAGTTAACGTGTCCTCCATCACTGAATGAATATTTAGTGCATATTGAAATGCTAAGGTTCATATGGGTTTTTTCCTACTACAGGTACATCATTTCAGAGGATGTCTTTGCTCTTGTGCTTTCTACGTCATCGTATGTATCGTTCGCATATCCTTTCTGGCTTGTAGAAAATTTAAGGACGGGGCTTTTAGCACGTGGGTCGACTTTGGCGTAGTTATCCAAATCAAAAGTGTCCTCTTTAAATGTCTCTGTCATCTGAGCGTAGTTGTCAGCAGTTTGTTTGTAACTCGCCACACTGGACGGAGAGGTAGCTTTGAATTCCGTGGATTCTTGAATCTTTTCCTGCAAAGGCTTTCTTAGCGGCTGTGCGTACACGTCACGAGTCACGTGACTTCCTGTACTTTTGCGTCTCTGTTGTTCTCTTAGCTGTTGTTGTAGTGTAAGGTTAATTTCTGCTTTCACGTCATCTTTGTTTTGATGGCTAGGCGAATCAACTTTGTTGTAAATGTCTAATAGTTGAGTGTTATCACGGTAATTTAACACGCCATCATTGCGTGAAGAGTTCGAAACTTCAACCTTTTGCTCTTGTACAATCAAAGGTGGTCTGAAAACGTATGTAAACATCGAATGTATCTATTTCAGAGAAAACACGCAAACGAACAATTTTACTGGTATTTATTTCTTTCAAATGAACAAAAACTAATTTTCAAATTTTAACATACATGTATGCGTCTAAATATTATTATGTTAGTCTCGAACATTCAAAAAAAAACTTTTTTGGCCTTTTAATAATCTATAAAGCTTAACTGTAATTCTCTACAAATTAGCTTTTTCAATTATTGCTCCTCAACATCTTTGCTTACTTGTTCTTTCTTTTCAGTAGTAAGAGGACGAGGATAACAACAATGAGAATAACGATGATAATGGATAAGGTACAGATGAGCGCTATATCCAGATCTACAACAGACAAAAGGGCCGTCTGGAATTAACGTGTACCGAAAAAGACAACAAAACTTGGTAAACGACAATAATATGATGTCCTCTCCTGAGCTAGTTTTAATGTAAAAATCAGAGCTGTGTAAGAAAATTCCATACTCATTTAAACATCCCTTATCACCTCAAGTCATTATAATAAATGGTATGTCCACATGAACAAAATGCATCATAAAGCTACACAGTTTACATCTATTTACCCAGTAAATTTTGTTGATCCGCAGTTAGTCCTTTGTAGATAACTGTGAAGTTTGGTGATGCCGCTGTAGAAGTTAACATCGTCTCTATATGAGAAGAAAAAAAACTCAATATAGCAGCTACATGGTTATACAAGAAATATCTTTTCATTACTGAAAACAATATGATTTGATTTTAAATAATAAATAATTAACATATAAACTTAATTCAATAACCACCGATGTTAATGATTTCCTTTTATTGCGAGGAATACCATCCCCCCTGGAATACCATCCCCCCTCCTCATTCCTAAACTGCACAATTCATAAATTTGGCTGACTAAACTGTTAAAATGTTTATTTCTAGGTATACTACCTTTGACATTGGATTTGTATGTGGCCTTGAACCCTCCGTACCGGATGTTTTGGTTGCTACTGGATACCAATATAAGGTTAAGGGTGTTACTTGTGGAATTGATGGTGAATCTTTGTAATTTACCGCAATACTTTCCTAACAAAGTAGACTGTCGAAAAAATCCATCTCTGATCTGTAAAAGTGGTAATAGAATTTTAAAAAAAAATTGGAGATAACGAAGAGAAATCATGCTCAAAAAATTCAATAAACAATGCAAATTTTAGAACTAGTGATTGATCCCACCATCATAAATCTGTACGCTTTTCAGTTGCTGGCTTCATGAACATGATAATTAAATTAAATATTTACAATACAGAATACACAAATGCAATAAAAAGCAAACTCACATTAGTAGATGATTACATTATTAAACTACTTTTATGTATTTCAGAATGTTCTTTTTAAAACGAGCTCATATTGTGTTTAATAAATTTACTTACATGTGCTATATATTACACCTACATTCCATCAAATGCTATAAATCACTTACATGTATTCCGTTGTGTTTAGTTTCAGTGTTTATCAAAAAGTAAGTGACAAATAAGTTTTCACCTCCAATGTAAACAAGAAGATTCAGAATTAAGCAAATATTTCACTTAACAAATATCTTAATTTCTTAGGTAGACTTGGTTCGCAAAGCTGCACCGTGACAGATAACCACCAACCCACTTTATGACTCATTATTTATACCTCAAAAGAAATGCTGGCTTAAAAATAAGAAAAACAGAAAAAAACACTACAAAATGAATTTAAAACAAAAAGGATTTTTTTTCTCTAAACATACTATGTACTAACCAAGTAACGTTAGATATGTGTAACAGAGAACAAAGCCTATAAAAATTTCAAACGAAATATACCATTACATGTCCACTTTACCTCTACATAATCATCGATACACGACCCGTCCACTTTGGATCCGACATCGAAATCTATGAAAGTAAGAGAGGTTATCCTTCCTGGGTATTGAGTGATGGTGTAACTGCAGACAATGTCCCGGATGTAATTCTTAGGATAACTAGGGGACATAATTTCTCCCGATTCTTCACTCAATGTCACTCCACACACTAGGTAAAACATTTCATATTTAGATAAATCAGCAATGCTGATTACATTTAAGAATGAATAAAGGCAGGTTTTTGGGTTACGACAGTACTCACCACTCCATTTGGCCTGAAATCCCTCCGAGCTGACGTCACACTGGGCTACAAACTTAACGAACATACGACTGGTTGTCGATATCGTTGTTTCTGGGATCGTACTTCCGGTCACCACTCTTAACAATGGAGAATTTTCGTCAACACCATTGTGGATCTTTTAAAAATTTAAGAATAAAGCTATAAGTATAAAGTATATATGCATTACATAGATTAAATACTCTTTAGTAAATTATTTGTATATTTTTTAACAAAGACAACAGTCAATGTTCCTAAATAGATTGCAATGAACTCTTGACTATGTAAAATTTATTTACACGATAAAGTTTGCATCCTTCTGATTCCTTTACAAGTCTCAACATGAAAATCAATGAAAGTCAATATTTGGTATAATGATAAAAGATGTTTTCAAAAAGTCTTATAGTATTGGTTTAATTAATTGGTTCTCTTTTCCGAACTTGATAATCTTAACTTTATTTGTATATTCTTCGTCATTTAAACATGCTGAAATAAAAAAAAAGCATCATCATTCACCTGTATATAGTCTTCACAGGTGCCAGTTTTTACAAGATTTAAGTTCAAGAAATCCAACACAACATTGCTTCCAGACACGCTGTCTATGACGTAAGAGCACGATCGTTTAATTGGATAAAATCCAGGCCAAAATGGTGATCGAATTTTGCCTGTAGGCGTGGTAACCCGGCTGCCACAAGCTATTAAATGATAAAAAGATAAATTATTTTAAAGATAGGCACTTATCATACAGAAAAAAAATCTTTTAACTGCTTTAGAATATGTTACAATATGAAAAACGGACCTGTCCATATAAGACTATACTTAAAACCACGAGGTCTTCCGAGTGCCTGATTAAAGGTTAGCTTTAATTTCTTGGCTCCAGTTTGTAACAGTCCATTTCCCTCATTTGAACATGGAAGATTTAGCAGTGTACTGTTCTGGGGACCAATTTCTTCAACCTATAGATTTGAAAACATATTCAATATTTTTCAAAATCTTTTATTTTTTTTTATATGAAACAAACTGATTTTCATAAATAAATTTCCAAGAAACATTTGTTGGTATACCTTTAAAGCATTATCACAGGCGCTTGACTGAGTGTACTCTGATTTATACTGCACAAAAAAGGATTCCACATCTAGTGGTTCTATAGTGTACTCGCATGTTATATCAAACGCATGCGCGAGGTAGAGTTCCGGTGACTTGATTTCACCGTAATGGTCGGTTATTTTACCACCACACGCTGCCCACTCTAAGACGAACCCCTCAGTCTCCACCGTCCCGTCCGATCGGAACTTGATGAATAGCTCATTGCCATGGTAAAGCGTGTTTGGCGGGAAAGTGGCGCCGCAGTAATGTTTGTGGCTGTTCTCCAGGACGTGATCATGTGGATCCCCGTTTGATAGAGTTTGGTGTTCGAAAGCAAACGGGTCAACGATCTGAGAAAAAAAATCAACACTGACATCTATTAATCTCTACTGTGCATTTATCTATATACAAGTGGGTCCTCTAGAATAAACTTGATTTAACCACAATATCTTATTATTCTGGATAATTTTTGTAGACATTCTTAAAAGACTTGAACTGTGCATTAGATACAGTGTTAATTAAATCTTTCAGTAAATTTTGAGGTTACGTGCAAATCTTTTACCTCTAAATAGTCCACACAACTAGCTGCCCAGTTATTCTCTAGTCTAAATTTGCTAAAGGCAACCATAATTTTACTTCCGGTATAAGTCTGTATATGAAAGTCACAGTTCTCGTTGGCGGAGTATAGGTTGCTGTAAACCGGGGGGAAGAAGCGACCTTCCAGCAATTCATATTTCCCGCCACAGGCTTAAGAAGAAAGAAAACCCGTTAATACAGATAATTCATACATGAATATAAATCTTCATTGTTTTGAATAAGACTAGGGTCATGAATAATGTTTTTTTTTAATTTTCATGAACATGAATTATAATGATCAATAGACCAGCTCAAGTTTGACTTGAACATGGGAAATACCAAGAAGAATAGCTGTCATTCGACTTGTACATAGGAAATACCATTAGAATAGCTTACGTTCGACTTGAACTGGGGAATACCCAATAGCATAGCTTACGTTCAACTTGAATATAGGAAATACTGATTCCTGTTCCTTGTGTGTAAGCATCAGAATAAAACCGAACAGAGAGTTCATTAAAGGTCGAGGTCACTGTGAAAGGGGAGGATATGATTCCACAATGTTCAGCTATCGGTAGTGTGGACCCAGAATCAGAAATCTATAATAATGAAAGATTTTTACGTTAGTCTCTTACATCTGTAAAAATACAGTGTTCACGCAGCCTCAAACACTTAAACATCAGAGTTGCTCAAACAGCACGGATCGAGAGTTACCTGAACATAATCCATACACTTCCCGTCGGCATTCCTCTGCTGAAGGTTGAACTGGGTGAAGGTGATGGCGACTCGTTTTCCTTCCGGTTGTCGGAAAACATACGTACAGTCCATGTTGTTTCTATAGTAACCATTAAAGGTGGGGAGGACCATGGTTCCCGCCGCCTGATCTATAACGCCACCACAAACTGAAGAACAAATATATCCTAAAAATTAATATATTTTTAAAAATTATGATAACGTAATCATAAACAGAAACATCATCAAAAACATACTGGGTACTGTGAAGACGGTCACATGTACAAGTGCATCTGGCATTCAAATGTTTCAAAAACACTGACACACAATCAAATTTTCAACGGGAGGGACTGCAGAATTTTTTTCATGTCAATCGTGAAACCGAAAGGAATATTGTTTGATCTGGATGGATAGAGGCTTAAGCTTTTCCGAAGAAACGAGGACATGAAATTAAAGTTTCTACAATGAAATTGTAAAGAAACCCAAATTGAACTGGTTTAAGTTTTGCAAGGGTAAAATACACCATATTAACGTGTGCTTCTGTATATCTAATCTCGGTGGAGAGACGGCTCGGTTAGATATCTGGTACATGTATGACGCCTTCGCCGACCAAAACCAGTATCTAGCCGAGCCGAATCTCCACCAACATTACTTTACTTGTTCATCACCACTTATTGGTCATAAACTTCAACGCCATCTTTTTCAAGATGAATGAGGTCTTTCTTTACTAAAGGGGATGAGAATGATCTCCAAGCTCGGTCAACTGTTTTCGAGACTTGTCCATTTCAAGATTCAGGGGATAGGAATGACCTCCTGCGGTTATGAACCATATAACATTTAATGCATCATGCATGCAAAAATATATTTTTGCCTTATTTCTAGTTCCACAAAGTGAAGGGTAATCAAGCTGTCGGGTTCAATGTATTACATATGACGACTTGCATATGGCATCCGATATTAATATGTTTTCAAGGAATTAGAAACCACCCGTTGCATCTTTAAGTCCTTGGCACCTTTCATTGCCAACCCTTATATACTGGTATCTATGTATAGAGTATTTACTTATTGATGGCTTAATCCGTTTTAAAACATTCCTCCACAGATATATTGTTTCTAAAATTATCTATTAAGTGTAAATCAAGAGTATGGTACCCGTAACTTCCGAAAGCTTCTCTAATACCAGGCGCGGATCTAGAAATTTTCAAAGGAGGGGGATAGTTGAGGCAAAAGATGCTCAATTTTAAATATGAATACACATTTCATTTATACTTTTGAATAATACCAAAGAAGTCTTGAAGATAGCTTATACTTAGAGGCAATAACTTACCTGTAGGTATAACTAATTGAACCTAAGGAAATACATGTAGATTCCTACCTTCCCAAGTGAATGAAAAGCCAGGGTAAACGACGTTTGTGTTCGTAACAAAATGGAGGTACATTGTGTTGAACTTAGATACGATGTCCACTACAATGGAGTTCCCACAGAATTCTCCTAGAGACCTGCCGTCTGCTTGTTGTATCTACAGTATAAAGAAACAGGACGGCTAGTTTTTATACTCAGTAAATAATTGTTTGGAAGCTTTACAGCAATCAGTCGTCTATGACAGATATCTGTTAAACTCAATTAGAGTGTTACTTCGAAAAAAAAGTTGATTTTGCCAAAACCGATGTACATACACACCTCTAAATAATCCAGACACTTTCCGTTGTATGCTGGCTCCAAATCAAACTCCGAGAAGGTAAATATGATCCCGAAGTCCCCGGGGACGGAAATGGAGATCGTGGCCCGGAGGTTGTTGGGGTATTGTAAAGATGCTGGGCCCTGATAGCGGGGGGAAGCAAACGACCCGGAGGAGGCGTTCAGTTTGGCGTCTACGGGATCTGCATGTGATAAAACAAAAACATACAAAGCCTCGATTGGAAACAAAAAGGAGAATGCTTCAAAATTCTACAAAGAAAAATGGCGTTTACTGTAAACCAATAGAAATGATTTTAAGGTTCATTGATACTCTGATGAGAAAGATAACTCTTACTGGAGTGATTTTACATTAAATTGTTTCTAATATTGTTAAATATTGCCCAAAAATATTTACTGAAACTAAATGTGTTTAATTTATATAATTAGTCTTCTTTAAGAAAAGCAATATCAATAAAGCAACATTTTATTTCAGTCTTTTAATCACCTTTAACCTAGTAATATTTTTTGGCTTACCAAAAACAAAGTATTCAGCTGAGACCACGAGATCTCGCAGATTTCCACCATTTATAAACCTAATGAACATAAAGTTCTGTGTTGCTGCTACAGAAAAAGCAGAGTTTTCGCAATATCGCCGAATTAGTTCCGAGTTTTCATTAGGTCCATCACGAATCTGTATATTAAAAAAAGTAAAAAAAAAAAATCAACAAGAGAGAGAGAGAGAGAGAGAGCAGGCGTTTTTATCCCCTATAAGAATTCCAGGCACATATAGCAGAATTCAGCTATCAGAATTAAAATACTGGGTTCTCAAGAATTCAAAAAAAATCGTTAAAGCGTTTCTAACTGTTCACAATCTGTGTACATACAACTTGGTCAATTTAAAAGCGTGTACCTAAATGATATAGGTTAGGAATGTAAATGGTGAACTTTTGTAAAATCAAGGTTTTATTTTATTAATAGTAATATTCCATTTCCTACCTCTATAAAGTCTGAAGAACAGTTTATGATCAGAGTTTTAAATCTGATGATGGCAAGTTTGCCTTCTGTAACATTGATTCTGACGATACAAGTGTCCGGGGAGTTCCGATTCTGAGACGTAGTGATCGCAAAAGCCCCGACGTCTCCCGAAAAGTTACGTCCACAACTTCCATAAACTGTAAATTATTTTATATAAAATTTCATTAAGCTGATTCTAGAAAATCCTTCTTCAGGGGCGTAGCAACGGCCAAGGAGTTTAATACATGTTAATAGTACATTGAAAAATCAGTTACATGGGGGGGGGGGGGGAGCCAGGGGGGCCTGCCCCCCCCCCCACTTTTTTCCCAACCTTACTTATACTATAGGAAATGTTAATTGAAAGCCTGGTTGGCCCTCCCACTTTTAGTGATGTACCGAAAAATGTAGTATTAGAATTGGTTACTAAAAGTAGTTGACACTGAAAAAAAGGTTTACCTACCCCCCCCCCCCCCCCCCCCCCTTCATCCAGATTCCACGAACTTTTGGATCCCCCCCCCCCCCCCCCCCCCCCCCCCCCCACACACACACACACACGAAATAGGATTTTCGACTTCGGGCAACTTTGAGTTTGGGCAACTTTTCCCTTTTTTTTTTTTTTTTTTTTTTTTGTTGCTGGTAAGTAAAAAAATTTTTTTTCTCTGGCTGGCCCCCCCACTTTCAAAAACGATGCTACGCCACTGTTCTTTTATTTTCTTTGTGGATTTTCAGTATTAATACGGCAACACACTAGCGAAGAATTTTCGCAATTATCATTAATATTAACTTAGAAATTATATTTTTTTCAATCTTTATAGAATAAATTTCTTTTAATTCAGAACGAAAAAAAAAAGCAAATTACCTGATATAATAAATGATCCAAGACTTATCCAAAATATATGCGTTTGATAGTTAAATCGTGTGAAATATGATCCATGCATTTTACCATTAACTGTATTTTTCAAACTATGAACTGTATTGTCTACCCGAAGCATTCGTCAGCAAAAACAGCCCAGGGGCTGAGATGAGTATCAGTAACAAATGACCTGAATATATAACGAGAGTTGACCAGAAAACAGATTAATAAACTGATTAAAATATAGACCAGATGGCCTGTTATGTCCAAGATATGCCAGTAGTTGGTCAATCAAAAACAAAGTTTATCCCAATTATTTTATTTTCCCCTTATCTATTGTTCTTTGTATACATTTGTGTCATCTACTGCCGTGATATCAAATGGAAATGATTATAAGAATTATTCGGGAGTTGAAACAAGGTGCAGCCTATTAGTTCATCAGTAGTTGAGTCCTAAGTTGATATCTTACTCCAGGCTGAATTAATGAAAACCTTGAAAACTATAACTTTGATCAAACGCCGAAACAATTTTAAATATTAAAGTTTAATTTACATAATAAAAACAAATATAAACATTATATATTTAAAGGAGATGGGTGAACTAAGCGTGCAGAAAGCCCACTAGTTTCAGATATATAAAAATCATATTCAAATTGTGAATTTAGTATTTAGAGTAAAGTTCTTATCATTGTTTTTTATGAAATCATGATAAACAAAAAGTTTTGAGGAAAATTTTCGTTAAAATTCATCCTTATACTTTAAAAAATAATGTGGTATCCATTGGGTTCGAACTCTGGCAATAAAAATCCCGAGTTGTATTATCTATTGAGACTAGCACTCTAACCACTACGCTACACAAGTCCTGATGAAATATGGCATTTAAATCATGTTTGTGATATGACCATTGACTTAAGGGACTATTTCTTGAAAAGATACGAAAGTTATGTCATAAAATTATATTTTTAAGGTATAGTGGGTCATTGCTCCATGATTTTGGAAACCAAAATATGTATGTTTGTATGCAAACTTTGAGGATTAATTCTCAAAAGAATGGAGAGAAGACCCACTCATACCGAAAAATAGTGTTATAGTGTGAAAAAAATGACTCGTTTCGTCCTCTTTTGTGTGTGTATAGTATTTTATAGGCAAATAACTTCAACATTCATGAGATTTGTGCAATTTGTAGAGATTTTACATAAAGTATACTTTAATGTTAAATAAAATATTAAGGAAAATTTAGATATAATTGAGATTTAATTTTCCACCTTCATGTTTGTTTCGCTATGTGCTTATCTCACGTCATGTTCACCCATGTCCTTTCAAATTATTTAAGCCCTTAATTTTACAAGCAACAAACCACTATATGTATATATTAATTAGACGTCTATGATATTTTGAAAAAAAATATATTTTAAAAGTATTTAGCTTGTTGACAAATACAACAGCGTTTTTATTTATTTATTTTTCTATTTATTTATTCATTATTGATTTATTTTTGTCTTTTAAATAAAAGAATGTCCAAGTCCTGTCAATTAATTTTTTTTAATAAAATCTCTATTAAAAGTTATTTTAAAAAAAAAATAACTTCAATGCAAGAATCCTCAGCACGTATATTAAATTGTTCATAACTGTGTATATGTATTTACTCATTATAAAGATTCATATTTATAATCTTAATTTGTTTTAATGTTTAATATAAATATTTTTTATATATAAAAAGAGTGTTCGAATTACAAGTGTAGAAACATTGGTATTACTGTTACAAGTTCTACTGCATTTTTAGATGTTTCTGTACTAGTACTACCGCTCTCCCTAAGGGAATGATGTTATCAACCGACGAATTCCACGGCAATGTTTAACAAGATTCTATTAAATTCATTATGAAGAAAATGTTCAAGCCTCGTTATAAATATTGTGCCATTTTGTACAACTATTAAGAAATATTTTATAAACTTCATTGAGAAAAAGAGAGAATGCATTAGGGGGTGTAGAATTTCCTTCCCCTGTTTTATTTTCCTCTACCTATCTGTAAAATTCAGAGAGAGAGAGAGAGAGTTTATCCTCGCTGTATTTGTTTTATTGTCGGTAAATTCTCTGATCTTGAGGTCGACACACTTTACCGCCATTTTAGTCGTGGCACCAGACTTGTGTTCTGATTTTTTTCGCCCATTAACATCACTTGTGAAAGGAGGTGTCAGGATTTAGTGGTCTGAACAGGAAAAAATATTGTTTTATGTTATTTATATACACCCAAAGTTGTATACTACTTCTTTTAAAGCGAAGGCCCTTATGGGTTTTATAGAGAAAAAAATATACAAGGACATTTAAAAATTCGTTGATTATTCAAAAAATTTCGATGGGTGTCATCACTTAAAAGTAAAAAAAAAAGCAGCGCAATTGATATTGAATAATTTTTATAAACTTCTTAAAATTCTGTTCATTTCTCTTGATAATGTCAAATACAAGCACTTAAATTTAACAAAGTATTTTTGATACATATATATATTTTTTTACTATATCTTTGATATTTCATGAGAAAATAACCTTTTATTTCAATGTTTTCATTGATTAAAAAATTTATATTACAACGACATTCATACGTTGTAAATAAATTCGAAAATGAAATTGAAAGGAGCCTCCTTCACTTTTTTCAGAGGACAGAACCGGTGCCTGTTTAAGATATTCCTTGAAGGCCTGATTCCACCTCTTCAAATATTTGTTACAGTACAGTGAAATCAAGCCATACAAAATGTATTAAAAGTTTTGAATCTAACCCACCACCCCACCTCACCCACCGATTTACATGAAGAAAAGGTTTCTTTTTAATCGGGGCCCAAACCCCAATCTTTTTGTCAAAGTTTTCAAGCACGTTTCCTGGCTGTCCCGGCATTTCACTTTTAAGCGATTAAAAACACTATTACTCTTTTTAACATTATCTTGTCACACGGGTTTGCGGAAATGTCGAAATATGGTCTAACGTTTCTTTTGCCTAATGACATTACCGATAGTACATCAATTAACGCTGATAAAACTGAACACCACCTTTAAATTCACACCTATTTAAATCTTTGTCTAATTCTCCAGCCATGTTTTCTAATAACAGTTTTTTGAGTATTTACAAACAGTCATTGTGTTACACGTGGAGTTCGTTTTTGGGCCGTTAATCTAGTATAGGAATGTTTGTGACCAAAATAAAGTGTCTTTTCAGAGACCATTGGTGACATCCCGCGATATTTGATTGATTTACAACTATCATTAGTAGGACACTGTAGAGATCTTGGTCAAAGTCAAAAATATCTTTGACCTGTAGAGCGTCCGTTACTATTGACTCGTCAGTTATAACGAGAAAATCTAAATATGCAGTGGATACGGGGACTCTATTCTTGTCTGCATCAACACAGACTATGTCTTCCTTATAAACTTTATCTAAATACGCTGTGGCTTTTTTTGAGGAAGTAAATATTTACAGTGCTACCATATTGAATAATTTTGCATCCACAAGAAGGAAATGTTTCTGTCAATAACATTTTTGTGAAGTTCAGGGTCTGAATCACTTAGTCCAAAAGTCAGTGATGGCCCGACTTTGGAGAACACAATATTTGTTGACCATTCTGATTGCTTCTCTGTTTAATATCTGTTACGGTAAGAAATATTTTCCCTTTAGCTTAATTAAGCATTTTAGTACTAGCATATTCATCGAGTATTGTATTCGATATTGATACAGTGCACTAGTTTTGTAGTCGGTTAAGTTCTTTATTTTTAAGCTCATTTTTTGTTAATTATATATAGTTCAACTATAAATAAAATTTACTTACTGTCGATATTGGTAAATAAAAATTGTTACTATTTCCCTTACATTTCCTCAATTGCAGAATGTTTTATAGTGTATGTCGCTACCTTGCTATGTACCATTTTAGAATTGTTTGTAATAACTGCGAATTCCGATATGAAATTCAATTTAAGTTACAAAAATAGATTACGCAAGTAGCCCTTGATACTGATAAATAAAGGTAATTTAAGAAAATAAAGTATACAGAAAATACAGTTGATATTGGAGAGTTTGATAAATGAACTTTGAGGAACAAACACTGCAGATTCTAACCAAGCATACTTAGTATTTGTATTCCTGGATACTATTTCAATAGGAAAAATTCAAATGTACTTTTCATGAGACCAGTAACTGTTCTGATTAAACAAAGAATATATGGGTGTAAAGTAAGTGAGAGATTTGATATTTATAAGCATAACATAAGTATAAGCTAAATCAAGTCAATGGAACATGATTTAATATAGAGACTCAAATCAGGATTGTCTCGAGTAAAATTGAAATCCTATTCTGCCCGTTTATATCTAATGCTATCACAGAAAACTGGAAATGGCTTTTAAGCTGTGTTGTCACGCTCAAAACAAATAAAAAGTTTTCTCTGTATTAGATGAATAAAGAGTTCAGGTGTGTACCACTCGTGTTCATTACACATGTCTCCTGTGATTCTTTTATAAAGCAGAATTAGTTTTTATGACCCTTTACTAGCCGCGTCTGGCTATTTTTGTGACTGAAATGAAACCATTGAGTCAATAACCTTAAAATATCATACATCGTTCTTTGTATCCTCTGTGAGGTTAAGAAAACATATAAATATATTTTTTTTATGAAAAAGAGAACACTTTGTGTATTTCTGTTGTTGGGGAAGTACTTAAAACTTTATTTTTATTTTTTAAATTATTTCAATTGAATTGTCAAAAAAAAAAAAATAAAACAAGAAAAGTTCTTTCCTAAAGTTACACGTTTATTAGTTTATATAGTACTTCTAAAGTAACCATTTACAACAAATTATTGAACGAAAAGATCCGAAGAGCATAAACTGAGATAATGTTGAAGTCAATAATCATTTTTTCAGCATCTCATATTTTGTTGTAAAATGAAACATATAGAGATAACGAACAGTATTCAAGATCAAAAGTCCACAAAACAATACAAAATAGGAGCAGAGCAAACACGGACCTCCAAAACATCAGGTGGGATCAGGTGCCATGGAGGAGTGAGCACCGACCGGTAAGACTCGCCGTGTGCTACTTGTCATGATCGGGAAATAACGGAAAAATCAGTCGTCAATTCAGTGTATAAATAATGGGCTAACAGTTAGTATGGAAAACGTCAGTAAGCATTTAACTTAATAAAAAATTGTATTTGCTGACAAGGTCATTGTATCGATCATAGAACTTACGAATTAATGACTTTACACGAGACTGTTGATATTCTTGTTTCATCAACTTGTTTGTCAATAATTTACCTCGTTTTACAAATCAATTGTTCATACGTAGAGCATGCTCTTGCGTATCGAATAAACTGAGATATATAAACTCCGTATGCAGGTGATAAAGGTATATTGCTGAAAAAGAAAGGGAAGTTGACGATAGTAAAGTTGAATTCATCAAGTTTATCATAAAAGGTCTTTTATTCAAACAATTAAACGCGTGACTTTAGTAAGAATTTCATTAGTTTTATCTTATTTTAGCCTGCCCGTTCAAGGGATCCTCTGTTCGCAGACTTACAAAGAGGCAGACCTTGTAAAACTCTTTTGAAGCAGAGAGAGCATAGTATTAACTGTAGTTTTTGAAATTGGCAGTATTCTCAAAAATCTATTGACAACTTTAATATACAAACTTTATCTATATTTTGTATGAATATACCCTTTTACCTAAATGTAGTGATTTTCAATTGTCTCAGCTGATTCGACGGGTAAGAATACCGGTAATGTTCTGTGACAAGCGATCTCCATAACAAACAGGCTAATAACAAGTGAGTAGCTGGTGTTACAACATACAAGAGTATCAAACATTTGGCGCAAAATTCATTACATTTTGAGATATTCAATGTTCTATTTATGTGTGTCATATTATCAGTTGACTTTATCAGTATATGATGTCAGAGACATAAATTATTTATGTCTCTGATGATGTGTATTAACCAGTCAAAATCTTTAAACTGTTGAGAGCGATCAGGTACTACTACTGCAGTGTGTATTCCGAACACAGGAACTTAATCATAAACGGACTCTTCCTCTTCCTTGTTCAGAATAGCGTTCACAAGAAAGTTACCTTTGCATTAATGGATAATCATGCTCAATGTCAATGAACTCATGATTTAAAAATATTCAGAATCTGAATGAGGTGTAACTTATTCGAGTCTTAAAACTGTAAGTGCTGAACCCATATGCGACAAGATTGAGATTGAACCTGGGACCCGTTTTACAAAAGGACTTACGACATAAGACCAAATTTAATTCTTCATATAACTTTTTAATTAATATTATATATTATTTAAGGTAAGTCACTCGTCAGCTTTTTAGAAAAGTTCACGCAGAAGCTTTTACTTCAAAACTACTTATTAAAATTCAATTTTTATAACATATTTAAACTCAACAATGTAAATTTTTTAACATTCAATGAAAAAACTGCTCAAAAATCTACAAAGAAGCAAGATCTATGAGGGACTATTTCTTTTGGTGGAAGGATATTTAGCAGAAAATTCTGCAAATCTGCACATTTATAAAATTTTTTGTAATGGAAATTTAGCTTCACATACTTTTATTTCGAGAATATTTTTACCGTTTTGATATTGCTAAAAATATTTAATATAGGTCTTAATTTATATTTTTAGACTAAGTTTTATACCTTCCCTCAACAAACTTTTCCAAAAAATGAAAATATATTAAAGAAGTCAAGGTCAAATTTACACCATTTTTTGCCTGAAAATCACATATTTTGACAAATATTTCAAAATTAGCATCACTGACCCTACCTTTTTCTTTCATTATTTTAAACTACTCGATACTTGTGACTGATCAGCACTCAAGTCGTAAAAAGTTTGATATAAGAAAATTTTTTATTGCCTATTAAATTTTTCAATACCCCAGATATGTTATTTTTTAGTGCAAAAAGGTCACTCAATAATTTACGCGCATTAATTTGCAAGATTTGTTTAATGATAAATATTATTCAAACTATTTTACGTAAAATAAGATTATATTTATTACCATGCTTACATCTAATCAAATATAATAAGGGTTAAAGTAATTAACCAAAGAGATGAAATTTAAGTGCAAAAAGGTCAACTTAAGTGTACCGTAGATCAGTAGGATGCACACTGACCCCCTATTTTCATTGCGATTTTGAGTTACACTTTATGAGTACTTATCCAAAATATACTTCTCAAAAAATCCTTGATATAAGAAATTTCAGGAGTGACTTACCTTAACTAAAATATATATTAAACCCTAACCCTAACCCTAACCCATAACTTTTTAAAACCAACGTGATAAGATATTTTTACACAAAGAATGTCAAAGAGAATAATTAATTTTGCAAAGTTTTACAATAACCTGAAGTTTTTGGTCTTAGTCGTACATAATGTAAGTTCTTTTGTAAAACGGGCCCCTGGTCCCTATCACCATGTAAAGTGCTTGTCTGTTACTTCTCAAATATAAACGGATTGGCTTGCCTGATATCGTTATATTAAACATTTAGCCATACTTTGGGTTTCTACATCAGGTATCAAGAGACATTAAATTTGCAGGTTGATCAGAAGGCTTGGATCTTCATTATATTGCATCCGTCATGATTTTATTGAGCTAGATGTACATGTAGCGGAGGAAATGTAAAAGATAACGAACATCGATCGATTAAATACAAATCTTAATCTATAAACAATTCAAAAATGTGCATCGGGCATAAAACACAGACCCCTGGAACATTTAGGGCTGGGATCAGGTGTCTTATATCAGTAAGCATCCCCTTGTGGTCGGTCAAACCTGCCATGAGACCTGTGTATTCATCAGGTAGAAGCAACATTTCGTTTTCAAATTTATGTAAAAAATGAAATAAAAGGCCCTACAATTGGTATGGAATATGTTGGCCAAAAATGCGACATAATAAGACTATATATGCTAACAAAATTATTATAACGACTAGAGAATTTATGAAATGCTGATTTTTAAATTTTTAAATGAAAGTAAAACTAACAGTATGCATGTAGAATGTTTTGAATAAATTCGCTGCATAGAAACATAAAACGTTTTGGCTTATTATTGTATTATCGTGTTCAAATAATGACCATCAAAATTACTCCAATAGAATGTTCAATAATGAGAATACTTGCATGTCATATATCAAGATCGACTCTTTAAAACAAACCTGAAATTAAAATCTTTGTATACTTGAACAGTATGACTTGACTTGATCCGAGAATTAACAAGGATTTAAACTAAATAGAAAATGAAGACTAGCTCGATGCTTTAAAGTATAAATTAAGGAAATTCTTTGAACTCATATATATGTATAAAAACTCTAACCTAAATGGATATACACTCAAAAGATGGGAAGTTTAGAGTTTGTTTTTTTTAATTATTCCTATGTTTTTTGTTTGATTATTTTTTATATGTTTTGCATTGTTCGTTTTAATGCCGAATTACCAAATTTCATTCCAGGATATTTGAAATGTTCACGGGTTGACTTTGGAAATAGTTCCACAACTGCCGTTATTGAACAAAACACTACTTATTGTGTCTGGGAAATTAAACCTACAAAAGAAACACTTTTGATCAGGATTCTGGAAGGGGCCTGCTCACATGATGGTATTGTAAGTTATGGTACTGGTTTATTATGACTATGAAATGTACGCGACAGACTTTATCCGATCAGAAACAGTGATCTGATTTATTTTTAATAGAGATTTTAATACCCTATCCTCGCAATGTGACCAAAAGATCCCTTAAAAGCGTTTATTAAGTACAATGGAAACAGAAATAGTGTATGAAGCGTATGTGTATTTCTCATTTCGTACAGTTGATTTATTTGGTTGAGGTTGAAGCTAGAAAATGTGAATTATATTTATATATATATCCATGGGTATCCATGTAAAAGTGAATTTCTTCGTGCTTTCTAAACATATATATATATTTGCCTACTCCTTGCATCGGGACATCATTCAGTCTTTGATTATTATTTAGACACCATCTATTTTTTATTCAATTGAATTTTTTAATTTCTAGGATTTTTTTCTACTTCTTTCATTTCAGATGTCAAAGTATGAAAACTTTGAAGATTCTTTCTGGAATTCAACAAGGTGTTCCACTAACAACGTAACCATTTTAACAGAAACAACTGTCTATATCAGATTTAACATATCATCGCCATTAGATTTGCTGCATGTTTCAAGATACGGTAAAAACTGAATTTTTATGATAATTAATATATACCGTAATATTTATTACTGAATTTAATGTGGCTTATTTCTTGGAAACGAATTTTAATTCCATCACCTTAATATTTTTCAATGCTCGCTTGTAAAAGTCATATATGGACAGGAAATGAACATCAAATGTACATCTGCATATTATTTTTAAATTTAAATTCACGAATTGGACATTCCAAAGATTTTAGTTGTGAATTCGACAATATCCGCGACAGATGTGTAATTGATAATGATAAAATTAGCCAAATTTGTCCATACAGCATTTAACCATAGAAAGAATCTTCTGCATGTGTAAATGTATATAAATGTAATTAATGGAAAAAGTGACTTATAGGTCCAATGGGCCGGGTGCAGATTCAGTCTGACGTATTTTGTTTACAATGTTTATTGAAATATGTATATGCACAATGTCACTATAATAAATGATTACTTACTTACTTACTTACTTTTTTTTTAAATTTCTTTTGGTTTCTTTGTAGACTGTAATAAAACCCACACAGATCTTGCTGGCAATATAATCCTCCACTTTCCAAAAGGACAGTTCCATGTTACACCCATAATCTGCAAACACACCATTGATTTACCTCAGTATTATACCATTGATCTCAAAATAAAAGATGTCCCTCTGAGGAAAAATGATACGTTTATCGTGAGTAAATTCTAAAAATACACCTTGTTAAAAAGCAAAGCCAAGTTAATAAACTCCTTTAATGTCACAACTGTACAATTGCACTCAATTTTGAAAGAAATTTCTCATCTCACAAAAAGAAAAAAGCAATTTTTTTCCTGAAAATTTTAGATAAGAAACTGTTTTATCAATTCACAGTATTTTGATTAGAAAAAGGATCACTTTTTAATATGATAAAGAATATATGTTCAATTTTAAGTATGGGTTTTGCAAAACCATACGAAAAATTAAAGTATAAATTGAACAATAACCTATATTAACAGTGTACATGTAATTATTACTTATGCTTGTTTAAAGGTGAGAGACAGACGATCAGAGATTAAAAACATAGCTGGTACAGATACATCTGCAAAAAGATTCAGAATTATGAACTCATCCTACATTGAACTAGAATACCAATCTACTTCTGGGGGATTTTTCAACTCTTGCATGGATCTTAATTTTTCTTGGTCACGTAGGTATAGTGTTCTGGATGATAATTAATGATTTAATTATTGAGAAAAAATATTAATATTTGTCAAAATGAAATATATGGAGATAACGAAGTTTTCAAGCTCAAAAATCCATCAAACAATATAAAATATGAGCAAACACGGACCTCTAAATCATCAGAGATAGGATCAGGTGCCATGGAGGAGTTAGCATCCCCTGCCGACCGGTCACACGGTCACTCCTTGTCATGATCGCAAAATAACGGAAAAATCAGTCGTCAATTCAGTGTATAAAAAATGGACACAAAAATGGCATGTCATCTTGCGTTAAAAAATTTTACAATGTTACCTGTGCAACTACGAAGCTGACCGCTAGAAGAAAACATATATGATTTTTACATGAACTTTTTATTGATCCTCAGATGCGTACATTGATTTAAGCATAATTATTATATTGACCTCAAATTAGCGATGAAAATTCTTGTAAAAGCTATTTTGAAAAAAAAAAAATAAATTGATAAAAAAAATTCATGATCTTTTGGTAGTAATACGATAGTTGTTCATTCGTTCATTTTTTAAATTTATTTATTTTTCAGACTGTGGTGGGATGTTCAATGATACTGTGAACTTTTCAACCTCCATTGAGAAGGGCACACCTGTGAATGTGGATTGTTTATTTGTGATGGAAAGAAAATTGTCTGACAAATTTGATTTTCTTCTAACAAACTATTTTCTAACCACAACAAGTTGTGAAAAAGACTTTTTACAGGTTAGATTAGAAAGTGATTAAATAAATGTTGTCCTTTTACTTTCTCAATGTTTTATATACTTTTTTTGCTTGTTAGTTAATGTATTGTAAAAATAGGTCGACAATCTTATGGGGCCAAGAGATTTAATCTGTTATACGAAAAGGTTTGAAATTCTTAAGTTAGAAATACATGAATATTCTTATAATTTACATTTCAGTTATATCAAGATAATAATGGAGAAGGTCAACTTTTAAAGCAGTACTGCAATAATTCCAGGGATGACGTCACACACCTGTCAACCAATAGAATAATGCTCAGACTTGTCTCCACTGAACCAGATTCAAATATTAGTTTCTCTGGAAAAGTTTTTCAAAGAGAAGGTAATTATACATCATTTGTTTATCAGTTGACAAAAATAAAATATTAACAATATTTATAAAAGCATTTCATGATTGTTTATTTTTTTTTCAAATTAACATGCTCAATTCTTACCTCAATTTTTTTTAAATATAGAATTATCTTAATTTATTAACATTGATTGTTTGAATCCGATAAAATACATTATTGGTTTTTACTTAAAATGGAACAAAAATTGAAAACTCAAATGTCTAACCACGATTTTATCTTAGGCATCTTTAGTTATATTTATTCTATGTAACTACAGGGTGCGGTAAGAGTATGTTTTACCACCAAGGACGAATACAAAATCCTACCAATACACTGGCTTCTTCCTGTCGGTATTCCATTAATACACAAAGAGGAAGTCGTATATGGATCGTCTTGAATAATATGTCATTGCCTGAAAGAAATAATGGATTTTGTACAGATTACTTGCAGGTTAGGAATTTAAAATGTTCTCATATTAATCTGGACAATATTTGGGGCAACAGAAAATCACATTAGTACTGTACAATATCAAATTATTATACATTCAAGGTAACGGATCTCAGTAGTACATTTAGCGCTACACAACGTTATTGTGGGGATGTATACGACCATCATCAATTGCTGTCTGGCAACAGGGCTCTCATCATGTTTCAAACCAATGGAAACCAGGATGATTTAAATGCTAGATTTCATATTGAATTTACAGGTATGTAACCATAATCATTACTACATGTTCCTTTCACATATTCTTGTGATTCTTTTTCACAAACTTTAGCCACTGCAAAAAAAAGTCATTTGTCTTTTCTTGCTCATTTTTTTTCATAAAAGTCAATTATATGTACAAATGTTTATATGGATTTTTCAAACTATATTGACATACATGTAAATTAATATACAGCAATTTTTGTACCAAATCAATGATTTTACACCTTTTAATAATTTACGTCTCTACATAACCTGTAACTTTACTAACGTGATATTTTAATCATAACAAACCTTATTGAAGAGTGTGGAGGGTATTTCGCTGGATTTTCTGGAGAAATCACGGGATTTAACATCAGCAGGGACAGAAGTTCCTCAGAAAAGTGTTTATGGAGGATTGGCCACCCTACTCCACGGAACATTACAATCCGTTCTAAAGAGAAGTTTTCTGATTATTGTAACAAATCTGTAAAGGTAAGTTAAAGCCTTCATTTGTCGAATGATAAAGCGTACAACTGTACATTTTGTTATTTAAAATTAGGTCTGTATTATAATATCCACAACTAGATTTACTGAATTTGGATAATCATAGTGTTAGTATCATAAATCACATGAATTGTGTTAATAATAATATTATTGAATATATGTTTGTTTCAGCTTAATTTTGCTGAAAATAAAACCATGGAACTCTGCAACTACAATTCCAGTTTCATAAGGACGTTTGATCATGTTGAAATAGAAATCCCATTACCAGTATTAATGTCTGATTCTTCTTTTCTGACGTGGATTGGTAAGTTAGATATTTGGTAAGACTGCCTTCGAAATAGATACAAAATTTCGAAGAAGTAGTAATATATAATATAGCATTGTTGTGAACTCAAATGATATAATTTAGCATTTAAGTTACCTATAATAATCATTAGAATTATACAGTAAATCAACTTTTATTTGCGTCACCTTTTATTTACGATTCGTTTGAAATCAATCCGTGGCGATTAATTTTCTCGAATAAGGAAACGTTTTCTTCAAAGTAAAATAATGGTTCGCAACGATTAATATTCGCGACAAAGGAGATCGCGAAACTCGCGGATATATTTCTCGCACTTGAATAAAATTTGGTTTACAGTATTTCATTAGAAGATGCAAATTAGTAGTTAAAAATGAAATTACTATACATTACTGATATATTTATGAATTGATTTCATCTACTTTAAATGGAAGCAAAATTATAAGCATGTGGCATGTGCATGCATATCATAGACTGCATGTATGCACATTGCACAAAATACTCGTAACATACATGTACGAACTCAATAACATCTCTAATATATAAGTGAAAAATTCTCGAATAGAACGTAAATTTAACAACATACAATCAATCATAGATCTAGAAAAAATATCGGATGTTGCAAATATTTTTCCATGATAAGTTATTCATTAATTTATTATATAGATTTAAAAAAAGAACAATTGCGGTGTTCTTTTTATTTTGCAGCCTGTGATACAGTCCAAAATGCCAGTCATGGCATGACATCTGTTGATCTAGTATTGTACGAATACCTGAACACCAGTTGCCCGCTAATATTGAATGCCTCCCACCCGGATAGCTATATCCTGTACCTAGAGACCACAAGCAATGACTGTCTAGGAGGGTTTCAAGTAATGAATAAGAAAATTATTAAATTTTATCCTCTGTTTTCCAGTATAAAAATCAATTTCTTGAATATTCCTTCATTTTTTTTTGTCAAAAATATTTATGATATAATACTAATCATACATGTATATTTTTATTGGAGATGGTCTACATATAAGAATGCACAAAACTATGTACATAAGTACATAATTATACGATTTAATTCTTGTATACACAACCCATCAATTTTTCTATACCCTAATATATATTCTATGATTTCTTACTTCTAACTAGTTTTGCTTTTATTTTTATTCAATATAAATAAAATAAAATACGTTTTATCATACAACTTGTATTTGTAAATTTCAGATTGACGACCACAAACATAGTCTTACGGCTCTGAATACAAATATGTTGCACTTCCCTAGTCCTGTAAATATTTCTCTCCTCGCCACAAACAAGACAAGACGGAAACAAGAGTGTCAGCTTCACATCAGCTGGGAAGGTGAGATTGGAGGAATTTGGAGGATAACAAAATTGAAATCTATTAATATTTATTTCAAGTTAGTACGAGGGTTGATCCAAAAGTTCGTGGAATTTTTTCATATTTTATATATTTTTAAGTGGAACTGGTTGAAAATTACAAATGAAAATATAGACACTTGATGAAAATTTTAAATTGAAAAACAGTTTAAATATCTTTGATAGGAACTCTATGGCAGTTGCCATAGAAACGGTTGTTTTGGAAATGCGGGGGAGACATTAACGTGATTATTTTCATTTTAATTCTTAATACGTGAAATGAGATTTAAACCGGCCTATGTGGTATATGAAACGAAAATTATGTCATTATTACGATTGCTTGATCTTTTATAAACCTTTGTGTGAAAGTTTCACTGATTTTACAGGATATTTAGTTTATTAATTGATTATTTATTGTTCATCTTTATTAGTTGTTAGACAACGTCAAATCTCGGTCAAGTCATACGTTTTGTGAAAAATCCGGGATCACTCTATCTTAAACGCGTATATTATTGACAAAGGCTTGGGAAACATACATTAAATTACTGGTTTTTCGGTGGCATAAGAAATTTAAGAAAATAGAACTGCCATGGACGTTGATTAAAGGTGTGGTCGCTTTTTGGAGGCTCTGTTTTAAGTGCAGATCCCCCTGAACAAATTAAAAGCGTTAATGGACGTTGTCGGCTGCCGTACAGTTTTTGACATTGCTGCTGAAATTGGAACATCATTGGAACATCATATAGAAAGATGGGTAGTAATTTGAAATATGAGTGAAAAATGATAGTAAGTTGGTGCAAGAGGATACCCAGGCTTTTTTGAGGAAAAAAAATAGAGAAAAAGACAACATTTTGTAGAATTACGAATTCAAATTGGACATTAGGGCGAGTTGCATCTATAAGGTGACGTGACATATCTAACTTGACATTACGTCGAAGTCTCCCCCGGGTTTCACAACTATTCATTTTCAAAAAGCTCGTGTGACCTCATTGGTAATTGGAAAATAGTGAAATTTTCCAATATTAATGCATTATGACTCTTTATTATGAATATGCCTGTTGTTTGCTTTCATCGAATCACGATAAAATTTTAGAAAGAAATTCCACGAACTTTTGGATCAACCCTCGTAAGTATAATGTTCACTTTTCAAGTGATAACTCGGGGCTGCAAAGCAATATTCAATTTTATTAAATCTTTCTTAAGGATTAAAGAAGAATTTCAGATATGTTTTAATCATCAGATATTTTTTACATAATCTAAATAAACATAATTATAAAATGATATTTTTAAAGCAAAAAGCAATTTTCTAATTTTTCTATTCAAAAATAACCATAACCTGAAAACTTTTAATCGTAATAACATTAATTTGGCAGCATTTTTTTTCAATAGAGATAGTGATAATTATTTGTCACATTTTATGCTTAATAGCAAAAACAAAAATACTTCATATATTCAATCTTTTAATATATAATATTTTGCAGCATGCAACCAGACATTTATCGGAGAAAACGGAACATTTAGATCCCCTGGATATCCAGATAGATATTTCACAAATCTTACGTGTTTCTACAATATAACTGCTCCCATTGGACAGCATATCAACCTTACCTTTAAAGACTTTGATGTCGGTAAACCGACAAATGACAAGAAATGTGGCGGAGACCGAGTAGAGGTACTTAAAATTTACAAACACTTCATTGCTTTTGAAGATTCTTTTATTATTTTCTAATTTGAGTTGAATGTTTTGTAGATCCACGATTCTGGCTATGTCGGTCCTCATGACGACATCCACTGCGGAGAGCAAGACAAAGACGAACTGATTCAGTACCTGAGTACCGGACACTCGCTCATCTTGCGTTTTGTCTCGGAGGGAAATCAGGGGAGTCGATTTAGAGGATTCAGTGTTACATATGAATTCTTTGAACAAGGTATTAGAAAAGTGACAATCAGAGTTTTATGATACATGTAGGTGTATAAAAATAGCAAGATGCTTCCTTAAATGAAAGAAAATTCTATTCTTAATTTCTTAATTCAAATTTTGTTTTTCAAAATTCAAAATAATTTTGATAATTAAAAAAAGATCAGAATGCTTTTATTATTTCATTTGTTGTTGTTTTACTGTGTTAGGAAAGACAACTCTTGGACAGGCTGATTCAGATCATTCAGAATATCATGAGATCAAAAAAGGCCTTTTGTCATACAGTAAGTGTTTTCTAACAAAGATTAATGGAGAGTGTAAGAAAACATTAAATCTTAAAAGAATTGTTTTGTATGTATTTTATTAAAGTTTGCTCAGAAATACACATCTTTTTGAAAATGTACCAAACAAATAGATGGCAGTCATGTTATATTTATCTTTGAAAATAATATGAAAGGCATCTACAAAAACAAAACAAAAACAAGAGGCCCAGGGGCCACAACCTGAGCACAAATTATCCCCCCCCCTCCAGGCATTCATCATTTGAACAAATATCTACACTACCTGAGGATGATTCCATATAAATATCACTATCATAGCTTTGAAGTACTTTTTTAAAAGATTTCCCTATATATCCCTATGTAAAACTTGGGTCGGCCATTTTGGCCCCACCCTTGCCCCGGGGGTCATGATTGGAACAAACTTGAATCTACACTACCTGAGGATGATTTCACATGAGTTTCATCTTTCCTGGCCCAGTGGTTCTTGAGAAGGATTTTTAAAGATATTTCCTATATATTCCTACGTAAAACTTGGGTCGGCCATTTTTGGCCCCACCCTTGCCCCGGGGGTCATTTTGAACAAACTTGAATCTACACTACCTGAGGATGATTCCACATGAGTTTCATCTTTCTTGGCCCAGTGGTTCTTGAGAAGAAGATTTTTAAAGATTTTTCCTATATATTCCTATGTAAAACTTTCGGCCATTTTGGCCCCACCCTAGCCCCGGGGGTCAAGATTTGAATAAAATTGAATCTACACTACCTGAGGATGATTCCACATGAGTTTCATCTTTCCTGGCCCAGTGGTTCTGGAGAAGAAGATTTTTAAAGATTTTTCCTATATATTCCTATGTAAAACTTCGGCCATTTTGGCCCCACCCTTGCCCCGGGGGTCATGATTTGAACAAACTTGAATCTGCACTACCTGAGGATGATTCCACATGAGTTTCACCTTTCCTGGCCCAGCGGTTCTGGAGAAGAAGATTTTTAAAGATTTTTCCTATATATTCCTATGTAAAACTTGGGTCGGCCATTTTGGCCCCACCCTTGCCCCGGGGGTCATGATTTGAACAAACTTGAATCTACACTACCTAAGGATGCTTCCACATGAGTTTCATCTTTCTTGGCCGAGTGGTTCTTGAGAAGAAGATTTTTAAAAATGCCATTAATTTTTTCACTAATTCATAATTATCTCCCCTTCGAGGAGAGCGTGGCCCTTCATTTGAACAAACTTGAATCCCCTTCACCCAAGGATACTTTGTACCAAGTTTGGTTGAAATTGGCCCAGTGGTTCTTGAGAAGAAGATGAAAATGTGAAAAGTTTACTACAACTACAACGCCGACAAACGACGACGACGACAACGCCGACAGACAACGGACAAATTTTGATCAGAAAAGCTCACTTGAGCCTTCGGCTCAGGTGAGCTAATTATTCGATAAAAAAATAAAATAAGACAACTAATGCTATTTTTTTACAATAACGACACATGCCAAAAGTGTTGCAAACCTCTCACGTAAATTTTCAATTTCGTAAAGTACATAATTGATTTCATTTGAAAATTAAATTACATTGGGATACTAAGATCAGATCTTTGTTACCAATATTCTCACCTACTTTCAGGAACCACCCTCGCTACCACCGTGGCCATGGGTGTCTGTATCGGTGTTCTTGTCTTCGTTGTCATAGCCCTTGCTGGCTTTCTCGTACGACAGAGGTATTGGTTACATTGGATTTTTTTAAACTTTACAATATCTTTAACATGAAATAAATGAAGTTGATATAAGAAAAAGAAAATAACTGAATGCTTTTTGTGAGTAAAATACATTCAAAACTTCTGAATCATGTCATGAACTGCTGCTTGGAAAAACCTACAATTTTTGCCATGTTTTTTTTTTGCACTTTTAGAGGATGTCAAAGTGCGCATGTCCCTGTCGTTCCACAGGGATCAAATGCTTCAACTTCTGACATGAATGGAACTCTAAGTCCACAATTAAGAAAACAAGGTTATATAAAGAAGAAGGATTCTAATGGTCTATCTACCCCCATTCCTGGAAATCGACATTCACCCCGAAATAGTAACAAAGAAAACAGTGATAAACTGCAAGAGGATATTGAGAAAAATCAAATAAAGGAAAACGGAATTTACAATCATCTACATGAGGGCCCGAATAGCCCCACTACTCAAGACAAAGGGGAATATTCGTTTGCCAGTGAAGAAAATAAAGAATACAGCAAATGTGGATCGATTCCCAAAAAGTTTGAAATTTTAGGTGATACTGTATATGACACTTCAAAAACTACTCCGCCAAATTCTGACGTCAAGCGAACGAAGGCAAATAAGGGTACTGTGAGCAAAACTGTGGAAAACTATGGCAATTCAAAAGTCCTAAATTCTGAGATTGTGCATGGAGATCCTAAGAATGAGAACAGTTTAAAGGAAGAAAAGCTTGATGTTAATAATGAAATTGAGCAAAAACTTGAAAGCAAGCCTATTTCAGATACTGATAAATCTAAAAGAAAATCAGGTGTCAAGAAAAAGAAAAGAACCGAGAAAGACCTTCAAGGAATACCGGAGGTTAATAAGAGTGTTTATGGTAATATAGGCTCAAAAAATGAGGAATATGGAAATTGGGAAGAAATATCTGCAAACAGGAAGGGAAGAAACACTTTGATCCCCGAGAATGACGAGTTTTATTCGAACACTGCCTCAATTTACAGCAATAACATACAAGAAGACGTTTACAGTAATTGTAGTAGTGCTTTATAAAAACAAACAAACAGTTCTGAATTTCATTTTATTGAGGTAAAGCATATGGGCCCGTGTCAAGAGTACTTTTAAAAAATGAACAATAAAATACATAATTTTTAACAAAATGATAAAAGAACATGATATGTGTTCTTGTTCTGTGCCTTCCATGATTTTCAGGTTAGTAGTGATAATGGTCGACCAGACATATGACAGTTATTTCTCTCCAATATCCTCCAATTTCTTGATTTATTGGTTAGATTTAAAGTATTTCCTACCTTAAAAGGCGAATTTTCATTCAGTTCGATACCTTTAGAGTAGAGGTAGGTACCATTTTAAAAACACATTTATATCGATTCTAAAAGGTATCGAGTGCAAGATAACAACTTAGATTGTAATTTTCCACGAGTGTAGAAAAACGGTGACGTCAATGTGATGGGATATATCTGTTTCAAAAAGGATTACACCGGTACTTATTTTTTTAAAATTAAAATCGAAGAGAAAATAGAAATAATTTTTTGCTGCATACATTTGCTATGTGAAATATATATCTATATTGAACGGTATTCAAGTTCAAAAGTCCAATAAACTTTACGAATGTTGGAGCAGAGCAAACACGGACCTCTAACTTAGATCATTAAAAAATAGGATAGTTTTAACTTAACAAGTATAAGCACAAAAATAAAGGTAAGGACTAACCAAAGCTGGTTGAAGATTTTTAAGTACTTCTGAGAACCCCTGAAAAATTGCCATTTTTCCAAAAAGTTTTTTTAAGTTCTCTGCCATTTTTCTTCGACTGTATAAAGAACATATCTGTATAAATTTAAATTAAATTTGAGCAATTCTTTTATATCAGAAGATCTTCAAATAGTTATACATGTATAAACATTTTTTTTTCTATAATTTTCTCTTGCAAAATTTTTTTTTACATTCTTCTGTTATTTATACACTATATCTTCAGTATACGATGAAGTCTCCGGGAATGGTTACTCCACACTCCAACCATGTGCCAAACCAGTTATAGGACGTGCCAAGATAACCAATGTCCCCGAAAGAAAAGGCTTGATTCATGTTGGATCGATAGAAACCTGAAAAATAATAGTGACTAATTTGTTCTCAATCAACGTGATCAATAGGTACCAAAACATTGCATTTTTATTTCAATGTATCCAGTAGTTAACTGTAAACAATTATAAACGAATAGGTCATTGATATATTATTTCTTTTAATGAAAATTACTAAAGAAAATCGATCTTGTGATTGAGTTTAAGTTTTGACAAGTATGTAGTTCGTTTAATTATAATCGATTTGGTGCACCTTGTATATCAGGGCTGTTTTCATAATCCGGGGACTCTATTGCCGTGGAACTAGATCCGCCGACCAATTCACAATGGTCGTCACCGGATCCAGATCCATCCGCGATGTTATAAAACATACCATCTATATCATCACTCAGGAACAGATGATATCTGAAATCAATAATATTTTATTAGATCATATTGCATAAAGGTGCATGTAAGTGTCTTTTGCAAAGTGTATATAATTCTCTCCCATCTCTCACACTGATATCCCTAAAAAAGATGTACCTTGTTGGACTACATAGGATAATGCCCACATACTTCCCCGGATTGTAAGTCGAATTTTTGATGTACATGTCTCCATAGCAAGCATTAAAGGAATCGTCAAAAGTAAAGTCCTGTTTAACAATGCAATTTGGATCCACGAAACACGTCTCGATGCCATCTAAAAGTGATACAAAATTACAATCTCATTAAAGATCTCGAAAAAAAGTTTGTTTTTTTATGATCTGTACGGCACTTCTCTCGTATATACTAGTATATTAGCTTTTCCAAAAGAGTTCTTATCTATATTTTATATTCGCTCTTATATAAACTTCACGCTCTTATATAACGTTCCTCAAAATCTGTTTTGTAGATCTTCGTAATGTATGAAAAATATTCAAAATTTAAATAACATTCTGATTTTTAAACATTATATAAGAAAAACTACCTACAATTTTTTGTGAGTAAACATGTTTAAGTTGCAATACTTTAATGACAAATTCCTAGAAAAAATTATCTATTATTAAGAAACGTCTCGTCTGTCCTTAAGAAGGCATTCTGGGCATGAATAGTGTTTATATAAAATTTACAAAACATATGACAAACAAATGACTCTAACGTACTGTCACACGTCAGATTGGCGGGAGACCAAGATCCGTCCAGACGACATGTGGTGTTCGGGTTGTCTCCCGTGGCGTTGTAGTCGGGTAGACATTCGTAGGTAAGGACTGCGCCTACTGCTCGGTCTGTGACATTAATGGCGGTCCCACGTATATATGGAGGCTCAGCGGTGCATTTGTCGTGAGCTAGATTGAAATCATAGTTACATATTAATAGTACTGAAAATCAGTAACACCATTGGGCAAACACTACAAAGGATATAACTAATGTATATACATTGTATATCGGTAAAAAGCGAACATCTAGCAAAGAAAATATTCATTAAGACAAGCAAGTTGATGAAACAAAAATATCAAGATTATCATTTAAAGTTATCATAAAGTTCTATGGTCGATACGATGATCAGCAAATACAATTTATCATTGAGTCAAATGTTGACTGATATTTCTCATACTAATTGTTAGTCCATTATTTAAACACTATAAGCACCAGTCGGGTGACAGGTCGACAAGGGATGCTTACTCCTTTGTAGTGCCTAATCCCACTTCTAAGGTCTCCTTTTGCAATGCTCCTGATTTATATTATTTGATTTTATACTGTTCTTATCTCCGTATTTCATTAAAGAATGCAAAGTTGATTCTTCTAATTTATAAACATTGAGCATTGATACATTGAACAGTTTAACAACAAATTCACCTTACAAAAATTATTTAAATGCATTTTTCATAGATAGATGTTGGATTTCCATTATCTCTAGTAAAATATATAGAACATGTAAGACACTGTTGCGTCTCAGTATTCTGAAACGAGGCAAGTTACTGTTAAATTAGTTGATAAAATAAGGATATGATTTCAACAGGCTTTTTCAAGTCAAGATTTTCCAACCTCAAAGGTCGATCTTGTTAGCAAATACAATCTATCATTAAGATGAATGCTGACTGACGTTTTCGTGCAAATTATTAGGTCATTATTTCCACACTGAATTGTCGACGGGTTTTCTTGATTACGATAGCAGGGATTGCTTAAACTGCCATAGCACCTCATTCGATCTCTGATGTTTTTAGAGGTTTGTGCTCTGATCCTGATTTGTATTGTTATGGTCAGCTTCTGAACATCATAAACTGTTCGTTTTCTTCGTATTTAATATACAGATGAAAATCAAATTTGTTAATATTTGTAATACGTAATCGATATATCTAAATGTCAATTCGAATGCCACAATTTTAACAAAAGAATTATTTATCTTCATGTAGAACAAACTGTTCATGTTAAAGTTCAAAAAGGTCAGTTAAAGAGAGGGTAAAATAAGGTCCCATATGAAATTCAGCAAATTGTCGGATGGGGAATTTTAGCATGCAATGCATCTTAATGTCAACTTCTGAGCATTACAGTGTGAATCTGATTGATTTTTAACAGGGTAAGTTTGCAGATGACCAAATACATGACAAAAATCCTCTTCATTTTCAACTACTTGAGCTCTTGGTAGTTCAGAAAAAATGCTTTTCTACGACATCAGTATATATTGTTTATCAAAAACACTCTTGTACGACAGAATAATTACATATTTGTCTTTTTAATTGAAGTGGAAATTTATGTACTAGCATATGTTTTTTAATTAATTGATTTATCATTTTTTTTGATAACGCTTATAATTCCTTCTTCACCCAAAATTTTAAAAATTTTTATCACAGACTTACCTATATCAGAAATACATGCGTGACTAGCGTCCTGTAACTTTATACAAAGCTTTCCCGGGTCACAATTGTTTCCCTTTAGACATAAGTCTCCGGTACTCTGTAAAAATAAAAGACAGTATCTCTCTTATTCAATTTGTTGTAACCATGCTTAAGCTCCGTTTGTAAGTATTTTAGATCCATTTTTGGGAGGACCTCTGTGAAGTAAATCTTTTACTTGACAGTACACTGTTTTTGTTGAAATATCAGTTGATAACGAACAGTATTCAACGTTTACAAGCCCATTAAACAATGCAAATCAGAGAAGAGCAAATACAGGTCTCTAAATCATCAGAGGTGGAATCAGGTGCCAAGGAAGAGTGAGCATCCCCTGCCGACCGGTCACACCCGCCGTGTGCTCCTTGTCATGATCGGAAATAACGGAAAAATCCGTCGTCAATTCAGTGTATAAATAATGGACTAACGATTAGTATGAAAAACGACGGTCAGAATTTTTGACTCAATGATAAATTGTATTTGCTGATAAGGTCATTGCATCGACCATAGATCTTACGAAATGATGATTAAACGAGCCTGTTGAAATTCTTGTTTCACCTATTTGTTTGTCAATGATTTACCTCGTTGTGGAAATTGTTCATTCGTAGAGCATGCTCTTGCGTTTCAAATCAATCGAGATATGTAAACTCCGTATGCAGGTGATGATGGTATATTGCTGTGTAAGTAAGGGAAGTTGACGATAGAAAAGCTAAAGTCATCACGTTTATCATAGAGCTTGGTTGTTAGACTACCATTAACGCCTTTTTCAAGGAAAATATCCAAAAATGAAACAGATGTGTCAGACTCTGTAATATCTTTTATCTTAATATCACCAAGATATATTGTAGCGACATAAGAATGGAAAGGTAGGGTTTCCATAGGGCTGTTTTTTTTTGGCCCATTATGAATTTCAAATTAATTCCTTTAGTTATGTCTAGTAATGTTTCCTCTGTCATATTTTATAATTTATTTGCAAAACCAACCTATACTAGTCACGTGACCAAGGGGTATCTAAAGGGTCCCTCTAAAAGCGTCTAAGAGGGCTATGAAGACTTATTGCTTGTAGAAGACTATTTATTGTGAAAAAAAACTAAGAAAGATTAACCATATATCATCAGGGAACGTAGAACAGGGCTGAAGTAACAAAAAAGGTTAACTGATTTAATATTTTTTGAAAAAGAATTTCTGTAATTGTAGCCATAGAAAGTTAATGGAAATTGTGTACGCTTTCTTATTAGACATCTTTGCTACTCATAATAATATAAAAAGTATGAAAAACAATCAGTAATAAAAAATCAAAAGCTTTTAATATTAAGATTTATCATATATCATGTATATTGAGACAAATCGTTTGAAATATAACTTTGCTTACGACCCATACATGTTCATACAAGTATAAAATAGAAAAAAGACCTCTACAATATACATAATAAGTAAGTACATCGATTTAATAGTATTTCGTTTAGATTGACACATAGGAAGTGTAAAAATCTCTCATCAATGAATTGTTTTGCAATACTAAAAATATTTTTGCGATAAAAAAGAAGTGATTCTGTAAGTGTATACTGTACACAGGCATTAAATATTGTTTACATGTACTTATTTTATTTATAGATACTGGATGCAATATCTGAGAAGTGTCTTTTTTCAAAATTCATTTTATATAATTTTTTTTTTTCTAAAGATATATCCTTTGATTCCATGTATTTTCGTGTGAAACGTATCTTAATTTTTTTTTCAAAATATTTTTTTTGTACCCGCTTTATGTAAATCAATAGTTGTTGATTTTACTTTGCTCTGACAATACTAAGCACTGCTTGGTGGTAATTGGCAAGTGCCATTGAAAGGTACTAGTATCTACAGAAATCTCATGAAGATACATCTACATATGGAGATAACGAACAGTATTCAAGATAAAAATATCAATCAAAGGATACATGGTAGGATTGAATCTTGTCCACAACATAAAAAAATTACCTTAAGTAGTTTATGTTTAGAGATTCTGCTTATGTTATTTGGAGGCAGCCTTTTCGACCAACACTTTGTGTTGCTAAATTATATACAGACTCTTAAAAAAGTTTAATACAATGTAGCTCCATCAACTAATCTTATACAAAATTAGATTTTGTCAAAACGTCTTCATTTTAGTACGTTATTATCGTGTTCCAGAGATGATCATTAAGAAAATCTCCCCTGGCATCAGAGGTGCCCCTTTGAACATGCCCAAATGACCTTGGATCAAGGTGTGAAGTATTAATTTTTATGTTCCTCCGTAAAAAAAGATATGAACAGGACACTTTTGCACAGATAGACAGTCAAACATACAGACAGACGGACAAAGCGATTCCTCTACATACCCCCAAACTTTGTTTGCGGCGGGTATAATGTGGTTATTTGAGCAATAGATTTAGGACAGATCAAGGCACAAACTGCATCATCAGCATCTTGTAAAATTCAAATTCACATCAAGTTGAAAGGAGCCAATTACTGTGGGCATTGGGTTTTTGTTAACAGAAAAATAACACACCTTAAATCTGTGAAAAGGCTACATATTTAAATCAAGAAACTTTTACCTAGATTTACATGAAATAATTGATATTTTTTACTATGGAAGAATAAGTCTGAGCTTGGTCTTTTACTCTTTATATCTTGCAAATACCGTCTCTAGTGTCAAAGTTTTTGGTTTTCCTCACAAACAGACATACAGGCATGTTATAATATAATCAATTTTTTTTTTCATGTTTGACATCATAGTATGCTTTTAATACATGTATATGCATAAAAGGACAAGCCAGCACTAAATCGTAAAACCCCACTCTGGTAAACTCTCATGAAACAATCTCACAATAATATGTCATGCCTAAAGAAAAAGTGTACTAGAATTTCAAGAATCTGCAATGAGTATTCGCTGAGGAAACCGTGATGGGAATTTGGTACAGACAGACACACAGATAAACAGAAAATTGACAGTGTATTCATACAAAAATAAATGTCACCATATGGCATGCAAAACGTATGTTTAAAGCATCAATCATACTATGAGTAGTTGCCGAAAAACTGCGAAGAAAATTACACCCCTCTCCTTCAGAGGTTGGAATTACTAGTAATCTGTTTGATTAACTGAACAATGTTATAAATATGTATATATGAATCACTTTAAATGTTTGAATAAAATTAACCACAACTTAACAGATTGCAAAATTTGCAAAGTCATTAGTAATTAAGTGTGTGTTGCATTGCAAACCATAACCATATTCCAGTATAATGTTTCTGTACATATAAGTAATTAATTGTCAAATTATGGTTTTGCTTCAGAATCCCTCCGACATTTTCCCATATACTCAATGTTAAAGCGGTTTAGGGTACCCTACTTTGATCGTTTATTCCCATATTATCCTAACTTTATTCTCGCAAAATAAATACACAGCACAAAATTAGACATGTTGAAAATAATGAAATTAAGTTTAAAATTGTGGGCAATCTAATTTCATTTTTCACAAAAAACATGGGCCAAAAAACAGCCTTATGGAAACCTCTTCTTTCCATTGTTAATTGACAGTACATCAACGATATATCTAAATGTCGAGTTGAGGGCCACATCAAATGTTTTCTTCTTTTCACGCATAAGATTTTGCACAAATTCTGCTTTATATGAATACAAAAAGTAGGCCTGCTAAGAACGGGGAGCAATAGGTACCCATGGGAATTCCAATCAGAATGCTTTTTAACAAAATAATCTTGCAAGTGACCAATGACAAGGTAAGTAAATTTTCGAGTTCCATTTTTATTGAAAAAGCAGCTGTCAATGATATCGAAAAGCCTGGACTTTAATTTATCGTTGGGAAAGGTAGTGTATCTGAAAAGTGATAAGTTTTTAAGCTGTTGATTTTGATAAAATCTTGTGATCTCAAATTGTTCAAAAGTTCCTTTGATTTTTTAAGTATCCACATCTGATTTACACCCTTTCTTGGATATATTGTTGCTGAGTACTCTTGAAGTTTCTCCTTCACTACTGTTATACCCAATTCATACGACATGATTTGCGTACCTCAGTATATTTCCCACCTCTGATGTTTCGGAGGTCCGTGTTTGCTCTGCTCTTGTTTTGTATTGTTTTATGGATTTTGAGATTGGATACTGTTAGTTATCTGCATATCCTTCCTACATATATGTAAATTTACTTACATATGCAATTTTTGTCGTATGAACTGATTTGCTCACATGCAAATTCTGCACAGTTGATTAAATTTACACCTGGTCAGGTCTAGGTGCAAATTAACTTTTGCATACACGTTGTTGCAAATCATTAGTTAAGAGAGAATGTCACGAACCGTCAAGCTTCTTCTATATATATCATGGAAACTTGAAAAATTTGCTTTTTTAAATGGCATTGATAGTGAAACATTTGGGATGCACTGATAACATTTTGCTATAAAATATGTGGCCTTTGTGAACCGTTACCATGGAAACCAAGACCAAACATCCCCAAGTGTGCAACCATATCGGTGAAAGTATATTTACTACATTTCTAATTGTAGATACATAGATGTCACATCTTATTAAATCAAAGTTAAAACACATAAGCATAGAAACTTATTTTAATATTTTTACCACTAAACATCACTGGTTAGGAAGTTAAAAAAATATTTTTATGCTTCTATATTCTAGTTTTGTCTTAAATAATTAAGCCAAAATAAGAATTAAATTCTTTAATCTACAACAAGATTATCTCAATCTGGTATTAAAAATTAAACAAACACTTCCTTTTCTACAAAGATTCGGCAAAAAAATGAGAAGCATATGTTGCAGATAATTTTTATGAGCAATTTTCGGAACGTTTACCTCACTTAAAGCGCTTGAAAAATTCAAAGAGTTACTTCCCTTAGCTGAATCTTTTGTGTAAACAATATGCAATATGGCGGCAAACTTGGCTGATGAGCTCTGTGTTGAGTCTGTGACAACTGACAACGGGGCTACAGTGGAACAGAGCTTGAGCTGACTGGGAAGCAGGATAGTCATGTAAGTAGAACTTAAGTATACAGATATAAAATCTGAATTCATATA